ATTTAGTAGAATATACAAAGATATTCAGCAGAGCATGTGGGAATAATCACAGATTTCTAATGATAATATCTAAATTTTTAGTTTTACTAAATATATAGTGAAACTTGTTCCCCTTTAAGTTTATTCTTATCAGTTTGACAAATGAACTTGAACATACGTTATAGTCAGATACTGTAGGTCCATTTTTTAAATATCTCAAATTAGCGGTATGGTGGTGGGGTCGTTGATGCTTATCTACAGTGGGCTTCACTGTGGGGCCATTTCAGTGGAAAACTTCCAGTGTTAGTACCATTGGGTCTTTTTCTTGGGGCTAGTCAGACTCTCCAGAAAACACTCTTTCAGTCTCTTGCCTAGAGCATCTATGTCTGCTTTCCAGTGTTCTGGGAGCTGAGTTGGGAAAGAAGGCTGGTGTGGCAGAATGTCAAACATTTAAGAACACTAAGTAACATTTTTTATGATGCCCCTGTTTTCAGACTGTATACTCTCAACTGTGTCTGGTTTTCCTAGCCCAGCAACTTTGTTGTTTGCCTTCTCCGGAAGTTTATCCTATAGTGTTCTGCTGGTGTGGAGGAGGGGATCCGGTGTGTTAGTTATTTTTTTTCAAAAGACTTTCATCTGTGCCATTGTTTTTCATTACAACTTCACCTCTAGTTCCATAATTCCTTGGTGCTGCCAATTCCTGAGCCTTTTGAGGATTCTGCAGTGTAGCATGGGTTTCTTCTTTACCATCCCTGCTAAACTGCCTCCTCCTATATCACCCAACTGTGAACCAGCTTTCTAGTGTTTAAGTCAGATAATATGGGGTGATCTGATTTTTAGCATATTTTCTTTGTTCTAATAGCTTTATGCTGTTTTGAAAATTATCTTAATGTCATTTTTGAGGGGTCACTTCATGAAGGGTGTAGAATTAAATGTGTATGTTCTGTACTATCGCATAACATTTATCTTAGGATAATCCTATCTTTAGACATGTTCTATTTAGAAAATTTGAATAAATTATAGTATTAATATTATATCATCAGCCCTAAATAGCTTTGGTATGTTTAATGAAAATACTTTAATATTTATTTTAAATTCCTTTACGTGTGTTTATCTGAGTTTTTTGTAATGTGGTTTGTAATGTGTAAGAATCATAACACTCTAGTATAGATTACTTAAATATATTGTAAGGAATATAAGTCCAGATGTGTTAACTAAATGAGGAATTGCAATTAGGTGAGTAATCATAGTTTAGAAACGTGGAAAATAGTGATTACCTGAAGGATGAAGTGTTTTCTACTAGTAATACGGGAATTTTATTTCGCCCCTGTAACATGAGATCTCTACATCTCTGTGAAGCATAAAATAGTTTTGGTATCTTATGATAATGAACTAAAACACTTTCTTCATTGTTTAGTTTTCATATAAATTTTAAAGAATGCATATTATTTAACTATGTATATTGTATTTGTTGTATTGAACTTGGGGAAATCCTGCTTTAATGGAGTTGATAACCTCAAATTATACCATTAAACTCATATTTTTAAATTAAAGTATTATATATATATATATGAAGTACTTAAAAGTGTGTATGTGTCCTTGAGGCTATAAGTATGATGTTTATATATTTTATAATATTGAACTATTCTTGTATCACTAATTTAGTACTTTTGAGTTTTCATTTATAATCCATGACATCTTAAGTCTGTCTTCTTCGCTATTATCCAGATAGACTCTAGAACAGTCATCCAACAGTTAAACCTAAATTTTACCACCTAAATGTGATTTTATCTCTTCCTTTTCTTCTTTTAGTTTACTGGAACTGTTTCCAATATATACATAATACTGAGCAGAGTGAGTTTCAGTTAAAAAAAATATGTTGCTTAACTATGTGAAATTATGTGGTAGATTTAGAAAGTAAAGTAACTATAAGGTAACATTGTAGAGTTTAAACATTGTTTACTATTTTTTTATTTTAAAAAATGCTGAGCTTATATATATAGCTGTGGTTAGAAATGTAGAGCGAATCCTGTATCTGTTGCTTACTAGGTACCTTTTTACTTTACCTCAAATTATAATTATTCGATTTTTTTTCCTACTTGTTCTTATTTTATAAAATGAGTGGAAAATAGAATAGTGATGAGTGATCAATAATAAGTGATCAGAGGAGACCTGGTCGGAACCCAGAACTCCCAACCCCTACCCAGCAGTAATTTGTAGGCTTTCTTATTTTTGGGTGTCAACAGAGGCTTGAATGGAAAACCTGAACTTCTATCTCCACATGGCAGTAACTAGGCAGGGTCTCAACAACAACCTGGTTGAATCTCTAGGGAATTATGCTGAGTGAAAATTTGCAAGTGAAGGATCAGAAGACATATGAAGGGAACCAGCAAATGAAGTTACTTTGAGGATAGAAAAACAATTGGAAGTGAATTCTGCATGTCTGTTACTGAATTTAAGGATGCCTACCTGCTCAGAGTACCTTTTTTGGTTTTTGGATGTTTTCCTATGATTTTACTGTCAGTTCTGTATATTTTACCACCTAAATTTGATTTTTATCTCTTCCTTTTCTTATTTTAGTTTACTGGCACTGTTTCCAATATATACATAATACTGAGCAGAGTGCGTTTCAGTTATAAAAAACACATTGCTTAACTATGTGAAATTATGTGGTAAATTTAGAAAGTAAAGTAACTATAAGGTAACATTGTAGAGTTCAAACATTGTTTACTATTTTTTTTAATTTTAAAAGAATTTATTATACTTTTTATTGTTCTCATATTTTGAATCTCCTCTCAGTGTGTTATTTACCTAGCCATTTCCTCTCTTCAGATGTTTAGAAAATCATTGGTAAAGATGTTTGAAGATAAAGGATTGGACTGTATCTTTTTAGAAACGAATATGAGCATGAAGAAACAGTATCATATGGTTTATGAATGCATTCCTCTCCCAAAGGAAGTGGGTGATATGGCTCCCATCTATTTTAAGGTATTTATGGATAGTCTTTACAGGCATACTTATTTTTTGCTGTATTATGGTTTTATGAATAGTTATCTTTATTCTGATATTTTTTCTCCTATGTACTTATGAAATTTTATATCATATAAAGAAATGAAGTAAAGCACAAAAATTCTGCTATATAAATTTCTGTAGAAGAAATTTGGGATTTTGACCTTTAAAAAGCATGCTTACTTATCAGTATGAATATACTATCAAATGGTAATTTATAATTTTAATTTTTCATTTCTCAAATGAAAAATCAAGTTCTACCTTGAAATACTTTCAAGTCAAAATTGTAGTCATGACTCTAGAAATTTATAATTTAAATTCCTTAGGGCCAAACATAGTTACATGCAAACAGTACAAATTACAATTGCTAAAAAAAAAAAAAAAATTACAATTGCAGAGACAAGTTATTGCTGCAAGTTTTAGTATTTAATACCTCATCATGCTCTTTGAAAAAGAAACTAAAATCTAACCTTGACATACATCTTTGGACATTGTAATAAATGATTAGAGTTCTTAAGCAATTGTGTCATTATAATGTTCAAGCAGGTTTAACTAAATAGCGTTTGTTTGATACTGGCCTGAGTGCAGTGTAATTTATAAATTTATAATTTATAAATTTGTAAATGTAGAACCATATATGAAATAGTAACGTGTACAATTAAAGAAGAAGATAATGTTTTATGAGGTGGTATAGAAACTTGCAAATGCAACATTTAGACAATATAGAATGGTAAATTTTAATTAATATGGACTGTAAATCACAATAAAAAGAATTATTTTAAAAAAGGATTATTAAACCTGTTAAGGTTGATGAGGTGGTGAAAATCAACTTTTCCTATAGAAATTTTTAAAAACCATCTGATTATTTGCTTTGAAGTCATGCTAGTAAAGTATAGGAAAACAATCCAGATAATTCCCAAACCCATGTCAGTCCTGTATTAAACAGAATCAATTGAGAAAGAGATTATTATGCTTTTCTTCAATTTTTTTTTTCCTCTTGTACTTCCTCAGTGAGCCCTAGGAGATTGTGACTATAGGTATTGAAGTACATAGGGCACAACATAGAGCAGCTACTGTTGCTTATGGTGGGTGACAGAAATGTCATCTCTTAGCAGAATGGTATGCTACTTTTCTTTTATATTGTATCTTTTATATGATCATTAAAGATGTACTTATTTGATTTAGCTTCAATTTTATATTGAATGTGCTACATTATAATGTCAACACAAGCAATCCATGTCTTTTAAATAGGGAGCAGCAGTATACCTGATGTATTTAAACTATGCTTATTTGAATGTTAATTTCACCTTTAAAATTTACTTCATTAGTAATGATGTATAAAAATGAGATTATTTTATAATTATCACCATGGCTTTTCTTTCTATTAAATATTTCTTTACCATAAATACTAGTCATATTGATTAGCTTAGAAAGTCTTATAATTCCATGTCTATGTATTTTTTCCCATGCATTTTTACTCCTTTTTTCTATGGCCAGAAATAGGTCAAGTATTTGGTTGCCAGAAAGCACATAAATTACTGTTCTTATATATGGAAGAAGAACAATAAAACAAAATGAATTTATTTGAGTAGATGTCTATGAATGGAGTAAGGAATTTGTGAACTTTATGTTCACAAATTCCGTTCAATATTAAGTTGCTTGGTCTTACTAAGGATTGTTTTTGTCATGTAAAGGTGAGCTAAAGTTAGTACAAGAGTTAAGAATGAGTAAAATAGTATTATTTTGGCTAAAGATAAGACTTGTATGAAATCAAGAAATTCCAATTTTAAATAACAGAAATTAAAGTCATTCAAACTAATAACCTAACATGTATATTAAACCTTATAATTAATTCACCATATTACTTTACTTTTAAACTCTTTGTATTTACTTGTGCATTATTTTTTAATTGACAAATGGCTGTTTCTTAGAAAGCCATAATGGAAACTGATGAAGAATGGTCTATGAACAAGAAATTAATTGATCTCTCTTCAAAAGATATCAGAAAGTCTGTAAGTATTATTTTTTTTAATATAAGAAATAACCCTACTATTTAGGATCTTTGTAATTTCCATATCTTATTTGAGAAAGAGACCATTTGGCTGAGTGATCAAAGGTGAAGGAAATATAATTCCATAAATAAAGAAGAAATTATTTTCATCCTACCTGGTCTAGCAAATCCTTATTTCTTTAATTGCTTATTTGAATGTTTATTCCTGATCTTTTGGTGCTCTGCCACTGTAGTCCCTATGATTGTTTATGATAACCATAAGACTCTGCCATGAAAGTTGCTCTTAATGGGATTCTCAGGCTCTGGGACAAGTGAGGAGAGATGCCTTCTTGTTACTGAAATTATAATGAGAAAAACATTTTCCTAAAGGCTCTATTTTGAACATGGAACTCTCTCTCTTTTTTTTTTTTTTTTTTTTTTTTTTTACTTATACAAAGGTTTACTGTTATGGTCCTTTAAAACAGTAGTTAAGTTAGATGATGGGTACATTATTCTTTTAGAGACTTTACTAACCATGCTTCATAGTTTAATCTTGATTTGCAGATCAGATTTTAGATACAAGTTACCCTTAGGTTGAGTACTTCTGTAATGACCTCCCTCTTTTCTAGAAATACACATTAAATGGAATAGATATATAATAGAACTGGGGATTCCTTTTTCTTTTCAAAGAGTATTATATGAATGTTTATTGAGTGCCTGCTATTTACCAGGCACTGTTCTACATGCTTTTTGTACATAATGGAACAAAACAAAGGCTTTATGTAGCTAATATTCTAGTGCAGGAGTTGGGAACTGCACTCTGTGTGCTAAATCCAGCCTGCTGCCTGTTTGTGTAAATGAAGTTTTATAGTAATACAGCTAAATCCCTTTTTTTTTTCTTAACACCTTTATTGGAGTATAATTGCTTTACAATAGTGTGTTAGTTTCTGCTTTATAACAAAGTGAATCAGCTATACATATACATATATCCCCATATCTCTTCCCTCTGTGTCTCCCTCCCAACCTCCCTATCCCACCCGTCTAGGTGGTCACAAACCACTGAGCTGATCTCCCTGTGCTATATGGCTGCTTCCCACTAGCTATCTATTTTACATTTGGTAGTATATATAAGTCCATGCCACTCTCTCATTTCTTCCCAGCTTACCCTCCCCCACCCCGCCCCCGTGTCCTCAAGTCCATTCTCTATGACTATATTCCTGTCCTGCTGCTAGGTTCTTCATAACCTTTTTTTTTTTTTTTTTTAGATTCCATACATATGTGTTAGCATATGGTATTTGTTTTTCTCTTTCTGACTTATTTCACTCTGTAGGACAGACTCTAGGTCCATCCACCTCACTACAAATAACTCAATTTCGTTTCTTTTTGTGGCTGAGTAATATTCCATTGTATATATGTGCCACATCTTCTTTATCCATTCATCGGTTGATGGACACTTAGGTTGCTTCCATGTCCTGACTATTGTAAATAGAGCTGCAATGAACATTGTGGTACATGACTCTTTTTGAATTGTGGCTCTCTCAGGGTATATGCCCAGTAGTGGGATTGCTGGGTCGTATGGTAGTTCTATTTGTAGTTTTTTAAGGAAGCACCATACTGTTCTCCATAGTGGCTGTATCAATTTACATTCCCACCAACAGTACAAGAGGGTTCCCTTTTCTCCACACCCTCTCCAGCGTTTATTGTTTGTAGATTTTTTGATGATGACCTTTCTGACTGCTGTGAGATGATACCTCATTTTAGTTTTGATTTGCATTTCTCTAATGATTAGTGATGTTGAGCATTCTTTCATGTGTTTGTTGGCAATCTGTATATCTTCTTTGGAGAAATGTCTAGGTCTTTTGCCCATTTTTGGATTGGGTTTTTTGTGTTTTTGATATTGAGCTGCATGAGTTGCTTATAAATTTTGGGATTAATCCTTTGTGAATTGCTTCATTTGCAAATATTTTCATGCATTCTGAGGGTCGTCTTTTCATCTTGTTTATGGTTTCCTTTGCTGCCAAAGGTTTTAAGTTTCAGAGGTACTGTTTTTGGCTGCTTTCATGCTACAAGGGTAGAGTTGAGAGTTGCAATAGAAATTTTATGATCTGCAAAGCCCAAATTATTTTATTTAAATTACAATTTTATTATAGGTTTTTAAAATTGTTTTTTAAGTTTTTAAAATTTTGCTGACCCCTCCTCTAGCAGATGTCACTAGAATATTTCTCTCCCATTTTTTGTTTTGGAAAGCCAGACCTGATACATGTGACTGATAGAATTCACTATTTTATTTATTATATCCCAGGCCAAAGGTTGAAATCTCATTGTATTATTGGAGGTAGTTTTAATTCAAAAGTAAAACCATTGTCTATTGTCTTTTTTAAAAATTAAAAAAAAAGTAATACAATTTTTAAAGGTTACTTTCCATTTACAGTTATTACAAAATATTGGCTATATTCCCCGTGTTGTACAAAACATCCTTCAGCCTATCTTACACTCAGTAGTTTGTACCTCCAACTTCCCCGCCCCTGTATTGCCCCCCACCATTGGTACTGGTAACCACTAGTTTGTTGTCTGTATCTGTGTGTCTGCTTCTTTTTTCTTCTATTCACTAGTTTGTTGTATTCTTTAGATTCCACATATAAGTGATATCATATAGTCTTTCTCTTTCTCTGTCTGACTTATTTCACTTAGCATAATGCCTTCCAAGTCCATCTATGTTGCTGCAAATGGCAAAAATTGTTCTTTTTTATGACTGAGTAGTATTCCATATATACATATATATACCACATCTTCTTTATCCATTCATCTGTTAATGGACACTTAGGTTGCTTCCATATCTTGGCTATTGTAAATAATGCTGCTATGAACATTGGGGTGCATATATCTTTTCAAATGAGTGTTTTGTGGTTTTTTCTGATATATATACTCAAGAGAGGAATTGCTGGGTCATATGGTAGTTCTATTTGTAGTTTTCTGAGAAACCTCCATACTGTTTTCCTCAGTGGCTGCACCATTTTACTTTCCCACCAACAGTGTGGGAGGGTTCCCTTTTCTTCACATCCTTGCCAGCATTTGTTATTTGTTTTCTTTTTAATGATAGCTGCTCTGAAGGTGTGAGGTGACATTTCATTGTGGTTTAGGTTTTGATTTGCATTTCCCTGATGATTAGCGATGTTGAGCATCTTTTCATATGCCTGTTGGCCATCTTCATTTCCTCTTTGGAAAAATATCTATTCAGTTCTTCTGTCTTTTTTTTAATTGGGTTTTTTGGTTTCTTGATACTGAGTTGTATGAGCTGTTTATATATGTTGGATATTAATCCCTTATTGGTCATATCATTTGCAAAAATTTTCTCTCATTTAGGAGTTTGTCTTTTCATTTTGTTGATGATTTTCTTTGCTGTTCAAAAGCTGTTAAATTTACTTAGGTCCTATTTGTTTATTTTTGCTTTTATTTCATTTACTCTAGGAGACTGATCCAAAAAAATATTCCTGTGATTCATGTCAGTCAGTGTTCTGCATGTATTTTCCTGTAGGAGTTTTATAGTATCCAGTCTTAAATTTAGGTTTTAATCCATTTTGAGTTTTATTTTTGTATGGTATTAGAGAATGTTCTAATTTCATTCTTTTACATGTAGCTATCCAGTTTTTCCAGCACTACTTATTGAAAAGACTGTCTTTTCTTCATTGTATGTTCTTGCCCCCTTTGTCATAGATTAATTTACCATTAAGTATGTGGGTTTATTTCTGGGCTGTCTATTCTGTTCCTTTGATCTATATGTCTGTTTTTATGCCAGTATCATACTGTTTTAATGACTGTAGCTTTGTAGTATAATCTGAAGTCAGGGAGCATGATTCCTCCAGGTTTGTTTTTCTTTCTCAAGATTGTTTTGGCTATTCAGAGTGTTTCAAAGGTACAATCTCCCAAGACTGAACTAAGAAAAAATAGAAAAGATGAACAGACCAATTACCAGTAATGAAATTGAGTCAGTAATTTAAAAATTCCCAAAAAACAAAAGTCTAGAACCAGATGGCTTCACAGGTGAATTCTACCATTTATCCTTCTGAAACTATTCCAAAAAATTACAGAGGAAGGAATGCTTCCAAACTGATTCTATGAAGCCAACATCACCCTGATACCAAAACCAAAGATATCACAAAAAAGAAACTTACAGGTCATTATCACTGATGAACATAGATGCAAAAATTCTCAACAAATACTATCAAAATGAATCCAACAATACATTAAAAAGATCATTCACCATGATCACGTGAGATTTAACCCAGGGATGCAAGGATTTTTCAGTATTCACAAATCACTGTGACATACCACATTAACAAATGAAGAATAAAAACCATATGATGCAGAAAAAGCTTTTGATAAAATCCAACATCCATTTATGATAAAAACTCTCCAGAAAGCTGGCATACAGGGAACATACCTCAACATAATAATGGCTGTATATGGCAAACCCACAGCTGACATCATACTCAATGGGGAAAAGCTGAAAGCATTTCCTCTAAGGTCAGGAATAAGACAAGAATGTCCAAAGTCACCACTTTTATTCAACATAGTTTTGGAAATCCAAGCCATAACAGTCAGAGAAGAAAAAGAAATTAAAAGAATTCAAATTGGAAAGGAAGAAGTAAAACTGTCACTGTTTGCAGATGACATGATACTATACATAGAAAAATCCTAAACACACCACCAGAAAACTACTAGATCTCATCAATGAACTCAGTAAAGTTGCAGAATACAAAATTAATGTACAGAAATCTGTTGCATCTCTATAAACTAACGATGAACTATCAGAAAGAGAAATTATGGAAACAATCCCATTTACCATCACATCAAAAAGAATAAAATACCTAGGAATAAATCTAACTAAGATGGCAAAAGAGCTGTACTCTGAAAGCTATAAGGCACTGATGCAAGAAATTGAAGATAAAACAAAAAGATGGAAAGATATACCGTGTTCTTGGACTGGGAGAATCAATTTTGTTAAAATGACCCTACCACCCA